AAAAAAAAAAAAGATATGAGTTCGAAATTTTGTTATGATGAGCAAGTTGTACATGACAGAGTAACTTTAACTAAAAATAATGTACAATTTGTTAAAAAGTATTTTAAATTATAAATAATGAGTTTTTAATAAATTAAGTATATATATATATATATATATTTTTTTTTTTTTAATAAACACATGTGTATTACAATCATAAAATTGATTTTCTTTTATAAACGTATTATGAAGCCTTATATGTACAGAAATTCTATGGCACCACATGTGACACCATATTATGAAGCATCATATGTACATCATGTTGTGACACCAATCATAAAATGTCACATCATGTTGTGGCACCATAATATGGTGCCACATGTGGTGCCGTAGAATTTCTGCCCATATGTAAACATCTCTAACCTATTTCATAAGATAGAAGATACTCCCTCCTATTTTTATTATTTGTCATTTTGACTTAATGGATCATTGATTAAATAAATGTAGTTTTGGCTATTTTGTTCATATTTTTATATTTTAATCCTCCATCAATGCACAGTGTCTTTTCATATCTCATCTCTATAGTTTCTCATAACATTCATTAAATAGGGTTAATATTGACAAGAATTATTTTTTTAATTAACGTGTTGTTTCTTAAAATAATAAATAATAAAAATGGGAGGGAGAATATAAAAAAAATAAAAATAAAATCATTGTTGGGGGCAAATCTAATGAACTTTTTGTGCCATCCAACAAACAATATTTGTTTCCATCTAAAAATTCACCAGCTACGTCATTATCACCCACTCCTTTTCTTAGTTACAGGACCTTCCACTTCGCCAATCTATTATGTCACACAGCAAATAATATAATTATTAACTTCATTAGGAAAAAAGAATTCAATTTCATTAGATTATAATATTTTTCTTGAGATATTGTTTTCACGAGTTCTCTATAAATTTTTTGCGAGAACAATTTAATAGTTAGGTGGTCCACCAATTATATTTTTTATTAAGATATATAAATTATTTCTTATAGTATCATATTTTAATTTAAAAATATATGTATATGCGTTGAAAAGATGTTTTAAGTTTCAAATTTAACTATAATAGGAGTATAAAATATTTAAGTATTTATAAAATTCTGAATAAATACACGCTCACGGGAACCTTATTTTGACATCACATTTGAATTTTTGAAATCTATTTGTGCAATTATAGCATCTGTAGAAATACATATAATTGAATTAAAACAAGACAAAATTGCAATTTTAGTAATATTGGTTTGATCCAGTAATATTTTTAGTCCTAAAAACTAAACTTTTTTTATTTGGTCCTATAATTTTAAAATTCAACGCAATTTCAGTCATTTAGGACTGAAAATGCAACAAAATTTAAAATTATAGGATTTAAATTATTAATAAAAAAATTTTTGGATGGTTTTTTATTAGCAATTTAAGTCTTATAATTTTAAATTTTGTTGCAATTTCAGTACCAAAAGACTGAAATTGTAGTAAAATACTAAATTACAGGATGAAAAAACAAAAAAATAAATTTTGAGACTAAAAATACTACCCGTACTAAAAATGTAATTTTATCTTAAAACAATTTGTATAATGTATGTTCTCAATATAAGATTTTGTTTTTTAAACCTCCAAAATACATATATTTATTTTATTAGCTCCTTTCTCGCAAAAACCAAGAAAAACCACCAATAATTTCTCTGCACAAAAAAGTAGGCCAAAAAGAAAGCCAAAAACCCATTTTACCCATAATGGGATGAGAAAACCACCTCAGCTAACATCCAAAAGTTGGTATATTCTATTCCCATTTTAGCCCCATATTTTTTGCACTCTCTAAGTTTCTTTCTTTGGAGTATCCTCAGAAATTCAGAATAACAATTCTTAGAGAAGCTAATTTCGAGATTCAGTTATATTATATACACAAAATCGCCCTTTTGAGGATGAGAGTGGGCCGCTAAAGGGGATGGAATTCTGGCCGGAGTTTCTCGCGAGCAGCTGGGGGAAAGAGTTCGTAGCCGGGGGATTCGGCGGCACCGCCGGAGTAATCGCCGGGTACCCGCTGGACACGCTGAGGGTGCGGCAGCAGCACGGTGGAAAAGGGTCGGCTTTGCAGATCCTCCGCCGCCTTGTGGCCACCGACGGGCTCTTGGCCCTTTACCGGGGCATGGCGGCGCCACTGGCTTCTGTTACTTTTCAGGTTACTTTCTTATTTTATGTTATTATTAATTCTTTTTTTTTTTTTTTT